CCACCTCTGAGCCAAGAAGGCCCATGGAAAGAACCCAACCATGCTGGTGCCCTGATCTCAAACTTCAGGCCCCCAAGAACTGTGAGAAACAAAATGTTAGCTGTTTATGCCACTCAATCTATGACCCTGTGTGATGGCAGCCCAAGCTCAGACACAAGTGCACAGTTACTCCTCAGTGCCCACGAGGGAATGGCGCCGGGACCCTCATCCCCAGAGATACCAAAAGTCCAGGATCATCAATATAAAGGCATATAAAATGGCATAGTATTTGCAGAAAATCTATGTCCATCTTCCAGTATACCTTAAATCATGGGCTGAGGAAATATCTTAGTGGCACAGTATGTGCTAAGTTTGTATAAGGTCCTGGGATTGAATTCTCAGCACCAAAGAAAGGAAAAAAAAAAAGAAGAAAAGAAAAAAAAAAAAAAAAAAAAAAAAAAAAAAAAAAAAACCTTTAGATGACTTATAATACCTAAAAAGAATGTAAATGCAATAGAAGTAGCTGTTGTACTATACTGAAAGGGAATAACAACAAGGAAAAAAACAGTACATGTTTCATACCACCACAACACAACCATCACAGGCGTACCTACACAATGTACAAACAGGACACAGTGGTCACACACATACTGTGCTGGGCGCAGTAGTAAGGATCTGCTAAGTACAGTACTACCCTGCACGTATGCGACACGTCGGTTCATTCACATGGATTCACCACAAGGCTCCGTGTACGTAAAATTCCAAGTTTTACATTTAGGTACTTTCTGGCATTTTTTTTCTTCCCAAATATTCTCAGTCTGCAGTTGGCTGAGCTGTAGATGCAGACTACTCAGATATGGAGGGCTGACCACATACACTTCCAGGAAACTCTAATTTGTCTTCAGCTTCTGCCACAGCGTCAGTGAGTGAAATCCCTCGCACCTGCCTTACCTTGAAAACCAATGGTCATTTTCAATCACCCTATTTGATTCTTGTGCTGTATTCAGTCCAGCTGTCCCTATCCTCATGGTTATTTTCCTTGGCTTTCTGACACAACGCCCCTGCCATGTGCTCCCTAATTTCTGGCTTCTCCTCCTGGCAGCTCCTGTGCCAGCCTCTCCTCTGTGTGGAATGCCAACCATTCAGCGTCCTTCACAGGTTGCTCTGCTCACTCTCCAAGGTGACCCCACCCACCTGCATTGCTTCAGGCACCCCTCATCTCTGGGAATCTACACCTTTCAAAGTTACCTGCTTATCCACCAACTTCTAGGTCTAAACCTACCTCACCAGCTATCCACGTGACCTCTCTCCGTCAACATCTCATGGACTCTGCCAGTTTCAACTAAACATGTTAGTGATCCTCTCCTCCAAGACCACTAACTACCCTCGCCTCTTTCTCAGCATTTATTATTCTTTAAGACATATACCAGAGAATCATATGATCACTTTTCCTCCCTAGCCCCATTTAGCAAAAAAAAATTATTTTATAATTCTTATCATTAATAGAACTAGATAACTATATAAAAGTATCTTCAAAAATATAATTCTTTATATTTTTGTTTCTAAATCCTTCAAATTCATCCACTTCTCCTCATGTTTTTGTTTGTTTTCCAGTAATGGGGATAGAACTCGGGACTTTGCGCTTGCAAGGCAGGCAGTGGCACCACTGAGCTTCGGCAGGGATTTATCCCAGTACCAAAAAAATAAATAAATAATAAAATAAATAAATAAATAAATCCCTGGCCCTTCTCCCCATGTCTTGCCTGGCTACTAAAATAATGTCCCCACTGGCCTTCTGACAGCCCCCTGCATTGCCTCAGGCCGTCATTCCCTTCTCTCACAACACTCTGTTGTGATCTTATAACACAGCAATATGTATTTCTCTGGCAGATCCTACAATAATGACAATCCACCAAGTAACTTTACAATTCCAACTTCAATGCCTCCCTGCACATCAGAGCTACAAGCTTCATCCAGGGAGGTATCGGGCAATGTTCTATTCACTGCTGTGGTCCAGGGTTCCAGCCCTGGACATGAACCTTCATTTTGTCGTGCCCACTGTTGGAAGAATGAACATTAATTCCCTCTTCACATGCAACTAAATCCCTCCCACCTTCTACATCCCAGCACAAACCTTGCTTCCTCTCTGTTCTCCCAAATCACTGCCATTCCTTTCACTCACCATGTATTGCCTTGCATCATGATGTACTGTCTGGGTATGTCACATCTTCCACAGAGAATACATATTCTAAGGATGGAAAGAATAAAATAGACATGAAAAAGTTTCCAGCCTGCCAGTGCTATTATATACTTCTGTAATTATCTTAACACTGATTTTTGCATCCTTAGCCTACTAACAAAATTAACAGCATATTTTTATTGTATGTCTCTGCAGTCAGTACCTAAAAAGACTACAAACATTGACATAAGCTATCTCTAATATGCTACAAGCCTGGGGAAGAAATCACTGCATCTCTACTACACATGTAAGTTTCCCATCTTTGCACAATAAGGCAGGCATGGATCAAACACAAACACTACAGTGAGACCGGCATTCAAATTTAAATATAACTATAATCTTGGTAACGCAACACTTACGATTCTTCATTTTCACTTTTAGTTTTTCCCACAGAACATATGAATATAAATGATTTTCTAGACAGGTGTGGTGGCACATGTCTGCAATCCCAGCACAGGCTGAGGCAGGAGGATCAATGAAAGTTGGAGACCAACCTGGGCTATATAGCGAATTCAAATCCAGCCTGAACTACACAAAATGAACTATGTATTTTGAGACCCTGACTCAAAAAACAAAAATAAATAAATAACATTCTAAATACTTGAATTTCTCCAAAATACTTTAAAAAAAAAAATTAAGCCCAAAAAATCTAATTCAGAAATGCCTTTCTGAAGCCTAACTAAAAGTTTATCAATAGGCTTAAAATAGACTGTCAAGTGGCTCACAAAAATTATCACAGATTACTGAGCTGTATCAATCATTGTGCTTAATATATGATGATTACAAATAATTTGATTAATAGTCATTTGTTCCCATGCCCTCAGGATAAATCAGGGGTGCACACAGCTAATTCTACCATCATAGGCTACTCACCACCGACAGAATCAAGTTCACGCTCTGTGTCTGACACTGAAGACGCCCGCCGCAGATTGTAAACCCAAAGTCTCCCTCCAGGATTACCCTCCATTTCCCTCCCCACAGAGCCTTTGCTACTTGCTCTTTACTCCCAGTTTCTCCAATCTCCTACCCTATAAATTTATCCAGTGAATTTCTATCCACCCACCGCCTCTGAGAAGCCTTGCCTGGCTCCCTGTGGAAACTGACCCCATGCCCTCCAACCTCCGTCGCTCTTAGTCCATACTTTTTCTCCTACAGCACCTACCGGAGACTGCCTCACACTGCCGTCACGTGTTCACGTTGGCCTCCTCCTCCTCCTCCTCAATCAGCTCCTTAATGGCACAGGTTGATTCAGTTGTTTCTATTTCCTTCACAGCCCCTGCCAGAGCTTCCTGTACACAGTAGGTAGTCAATAAATTGTACTGTCTCACCAATGGTACATGTTATTGTATTACAAGTGTACGTTTCCCTTTCACATATATCAAGAGATTTGTATTATCAAAACCATGGGGAGAGGGGACAACCCTGCAAAACAGACCTTTTCATTGATTCATCAACATTCAATGAGCCTATACATCTGAGGCACTGTCCCAGGCCCTGTGGACTCAAAGATGAGTAAGACTCACAGCCTTCAGGACTCAAGGAACTCAGAATCCAAATTCAAGTGTTTTTTAAAAGTAAAATACATCATCCAGTTATGGCGATGCATGCCTGTAATCTCTGAACTCTGGGAGGCTGAGGGAGGAAGATGAGAAGTTTGAGTCCAACCTGGGCAACTTAGTCAGATCCTGTCTCAAAACAGAAAATAAATTTTAAAACCTAGGATGCAAATCAGTGTGAAGGCCCTGAGTTCAACCTCCAGAAAAACGGGGTGGGGGGGCATGGTACAGGATCTAGAGGATCACAAGGGTACATGATGAAGTTAGAAATGGACAACCTTCAGAATCATTATCACTCCTATGCAGGACTGAACACTTACTATCAGGGAGCCTCCTGGATGTTTCTACAGTCAGAACACCTATCAGTGTACAAAAGACACAGGCAAGCTGTAACGTGAATGCAAATTTTAATTCAAAACTCAAGGTTCGCTGCAACTATAAAATTGTTTTTGCGTCTGCTTGTTGCAGGCTAGCTATTCGGATGCAGGTACAGTGAGGGAGCTGTAACAGCTAACGTCTCCGGGAACGTGTGTCGATACAGAGGAGTTGCAAAGTGTGACTACAGTTTTACTGAAAACCCCCTTTCCCCGGGAGAATCTGCAGCCCAGTTCAGGTCAAAAGGCCGATTCGCGATTGTTTCCCGGTTCGCATCTCCCGCCAGACCGAGAGCCCCACGAGGCAAGTGCTGGGCTCTGGGTCTCGCTTCAGTCAGGGGACTCCAGTGCGTGCGCTCCACAAACAAATGAAAGGCATCCTTTCTCACTTCTGTTTACCTGCGGGATCTGGGCCTACGGTAGCTCTTTCGCCTCCAGCCGCAGATCAGAGAGGGGCTGTAGGACCCCAACCCTCAAGTGCCCTCCGCCCAGCAGCTGACTCCACCCCCTTAAATCCAGACCCTTGGAAACACTCCTCCTGCCAAGACCCACTTAGGTACCCAGTTTACCTACAAAGTGCCTCCAGATAGCCGTCAAAGCAAAACCAGGATAACACTGCAGCCGCTAAGACGGTAGCCCTGCCAGCGCCTCCGGAACAGGAAACCCAAGGAATTAAAAACCCGACGGTAGAAAGCCGTGGCCCAGGGAGGGAAAAACCTCCCAGCTCGCCGCAGCGCCTCGTACACAGTGATTGGTGCATCAGAAAGAGCGATGGTCATCTGGACCAATCGTCCACTTCAGACGCTATGGCGCCTGCCCCCAGCTACTAGCCCTCCAATCCGGAAGCGCAACCGGGTGAGCGGGTGTTTCCGCTGGGAGGTGGCGGAGGAGCAGCAGCTGAGGCCTTCTCTGGTGGTCTCTCGGCGCGTCGGCCTCCAGTCATGGGTGACTCCGCGGAACCCCGCCCCTGCCTGCGGCGCTACCCCGAGCTGCCGGTGTGGGTGGTGGAGGATCATCAGGAGGTGAGGGGGTGGCTACCCGGCCTGGGGCAGAATTGCCCGGGGCCCTAGCGCGTCGGAATTGGCAGCCGGGCGGTTTGACTGCTGAGTCCGGAGTCCTCGGCCTGGAGTCCGGAGTCCTCTCATCCCAGCTGCTGTTTCGCAGGGAGGCTGACGCTGAGTACACGAGCTCGCATCTACTACACCGGGACAGTGCGCGTATTATCGTGTGTGTGCTGTGTACCTGTATCTTTCAACACGGTGCCCACGGTGAGGCACGGCTGTAATCCTAGCGCTGCAGAGGCCGAGACAGGAAGATTGTCCCGAGTTCGAGACCAGCCTGAAATACACAGTGAGACCTTGTCTCAAAGAAAAGAAAAACAAAATTGTTGCCCAGAAATTAACACTAAAAGACGTTCCCTTTTCATGACTGTGCTGCTATATAGTAGTAAAATCGATCCCTCAATCTAGATTTCTGGAAGCCAACGAAGGAGACTCGTGAGGAATTTGGTTAAAAGTAATATTAATAGACCGTGGAAGGTCTCTGGATATGAAAAAACGAACGGGGCTAGGAGTGTACCTCAGTGATAAACCCCTTGCGTGGCATTCTCAATGTCCAGCACCATACAAAATGTATTTTTAAAAAGAGGAAGAGAGATTTACTAATGGAGAAAGTTAAGAGAAATGAAAGAGTTGGGTTTCTTCTGACCTACACGTAGTATGTATGGGCACGAGAGAAGGCCAGAGAGTTGGTTAGGTGGTACTTTCAAATTCAGTATTAGGCCTAGAATTTAGAGGATGTAAGGTGGGAAAAACTTATAACCTACCTAGCCCAGCGTTGCCACACTAAAGGTACTGAAAAGACCCCAAAACCTAGGGTACCAAACACATGCAGTTATTGCTGGAATGGGCATTAACTAGCTAACATTTTGTTCTTGGGCCCTAGTCCTGATCTCCTTTCCCGCATTAACGTGGATTTGGATGGATTTGAGACGGGAGTGGGGTGGTTAGTTCTGCACCTAGAGATGCAAATTGGAAGTTCTGAAGGAAAAATTCAGGTTCAATTAAATAAACCAATGAACCAATTTTATTTTCTTGCCACTTTCAACAATTTGGTGTACTTAAAAGTGTGTGTGGTTATGTTTATGTCTGCACTTGAGCATGCTTGTGATTTCAGTGCCAATTCTGAATGTGTCTTTTACAGGTTCTGCCTTTCATATATCGAGCCATAGGATCAAAGCACCTTCCTGCCAGTAACATAACTTTTTTACACCTCGACTCCCATCCAGACCTCCTTATTCCTGTGAATATGCCAGCAGACACCGTATTTGATAAGGAAACATTGTTTGGGTAATGTGATTTTTGTTGATAATCTTTTATGTGCTTGAAATACAGCTTGATGTATATGATAAATAATTAGTAATAGAATTTGCTAAACTCTGTTTTTTATTTTTTTTATTTTACTTAGAACAAGTTACTACAAATGTTTTCTTAAAGAGCTACATAGTAAATATTTTAGGTTTGGTGGTCATATATTCTATGTAACAACAACTTGCTTCTACCTTTGTTGTGTGAAAGCCCATACATGCTGTGTAAACAAATGGCAAGAACTGTGTTCTCATAAAACTTCATTTTGAGAAATAACCTAGCCAGTGTTTGCTGAGCTCCGATTTAAAGTAGAGAACTTTACACGTTGAAAAGATTTTACTAGTGACCTAAGAAAGTTTTCCCTTCTCTCTGTTAAAGTCTGAATGCTGAGGTATAAGAAAATGTGCCTTATTGACACAGGTCAATATGGTGTAAGCAACACATCTTAATTTGCGTATCCTTTTTTGAGGTTTTGAGCCCTTTCTCCCTCTCAGTTTATTTTCAGGTCACAAATCCTGTTAACTTTTAGTATATAGAGTCATACAGATGAAGTGATATTTATAATTACTACTCCATCCTTCAGAGAGGATTATATCTAATATATCTCTCATAATGACATACTGGCCTCTTTTCTATAAAATTCTGTCACTGTCCCTTCATGGATATAGTTGTTAGTTGATTAATTTTACCCTACTACATTTCTCTCAGTTGACTTTTTCCAAAACCCCAAATCACAGCGCTAATTCCTTTTTTTTGAGGGGGGGCTTTGAAACAAGGTATGGCTATGTAGTTCAGACTAGCCTTGAACTTGCAGTGAGTGATCTTTCTGCCTCAGCCTCCCAAGTGCTGGCATTCCAGGGGTGTACCACCATGCCTGCCATTCCTTAACAAATGTGATGACTCCACAATTATCCTTCCTTTACCTTATATTTGGAAGTTTTATATTTTAAAAATTGGAAAAAAATGAAGCAGATAAACAGTATAGTGAGTCCTGAAATAATTATTCTTGAACTTTTTAGTCTCAGGATTATTTTGCACTTTTTAAATCAAATGTCGTAAAATATGGGCTTATCTGTCAGTATTCACTGAATTAGAAATTTAAAAGTGATAACCTTTTTAAGTATTGCAAAATAATAAACTGTTATGTGTTGACATAAAAAAGATCATTTATGAAAGATATAGTTCCAAAAACAAAAAATACTTGGTGCCAAGTGTGGTGGTGGTGCTCCTATAGCCCCACCATTCAGGAGGCTGAGGTAGGAGGATCACTATGAATTCAAGGCCTGCCTGAATTACATAGTGAGATCCTGTCTTAAAAAAAAAACTTAAGTGAGAATAGTGGTATTGTTTAAATTTTTGTAGGTGTCTTTAAGTATTTTCCTTTATAGAAGACAGCTGGATTCTCATATTTGCTTTTGCATTCAGTCTGTCACCATATGTTTTGGCTCCAGTGTAAGATGAAAATTCAGACTCTCACTGACATGTAGTTAAAAAAGAAGAGAATTTTCAGATTATTGTAAATATTCTTTGATACTACACTGAACTTTGACAGGTGATAGTTTCTTAAAGCCTATTTGGCATGTAGACCCTAATAATTCAGCCTCTAGTCTAAATAGCCTTTATTGATCACTCCTACTTTTGTTTGTTTGTTTGTTTGTTTGTTTGTTTGTTTTTGGTGCTAGAAATTGAACCCTGGGCCTTTGCACTAAACTACATCTCCAGCCCTCTTTTTATTTTTGAGATAAGTTCTGGCCAACTTACTAAGTTACATAGGCTGGGTCTGAACTTGGGATCCTCCTGCCTCAGTCTCCCACAGTGCTAGGATTACAGGCATGCTCCACCATACCTGGCTTTGATCATTTCTTCTTTCAAGAAAAATGGTGTTTGGTTCACAATTCAGACACAAGTGCTTTTCTTTGGAGCAACCATTGTACTTCAAGGTATGTAGCAAAAGTACTTTCTGGGCACATATCTTTGCCACACAGAATATTTAAAAATACATGCTTATGATCAAGCATTAATGAAAGCAAGGGCAGTTTTCAGTAAAGCTAGTTGCTGCTCCTGCTGCTTTTTTTTACTAGTGCTTCATAATGAAAAATGACAATATCAACTCCCCGCTACTGTTGAACCATCAGGACAAATGTCAATGCAATGAAAAAGAGAAGTAATATCTTAGTATTTTTAAGAAAGTCATTTTAACCTAATTTTCATCCTAAAAAAAAGTCTCAGAAACCTCCTGGGGCACCACATTCTGAGACCGGCCATCTTAAAATTCTGTGGATGAGATGACATTTGAGAAAAAAACACTTATTTTAGTGTTTCTTTTCTGTTTTTGTTTTTCAGAGAATTAAGTATTGAAAATTGGATTATGCCTGCAGTTTATGCTGGCCACTTTTCCCACGTAATATGGCTTCATCCCCCATGGGCACAGCAAATCAGAGAGGGAAAACATCATTTTTTAGTAGGCAAAGATATTTCTACCACAACAATCAGGTAATTTCTTGATACTTGTAAGTGTGAAAGGATTTGAATGCTTCTTTCTTACTTTGGTGTCCTAAAATAACTTCCTAATATTCTCTATACACAAATAGGGTCAGATTCAGCCTTAACTCCTCCTAAAAGAGTTCTTGACATGCCAGAAACAGGTTTTCAAATCTCTTGATATCCTGTGTGTACCATTTATATTTTATAGCTGGTGAAATTTATTTCTTAATAAAATGATCTTCACCCAAATGCTTACCTTTTTTTGGTTAAATTGTTTCTATAGTAGAAATTTGACAATAAAATTCAAGAAAATGTAAAAAAAATAAATTAAATAAAATGATCTTCATCCTCTGAGATAGAAATGTGTTGATGACAGCTTCATTAAGTCATTAAAGTACATTATAGATTTGTATATTTAATGATACATTTTTATGTTTCCTTCCAATATAATGTGTTAAGTTTAATAATTATGAATGAGGAGGCAAAATTGTGTCACTTTGGATTTTTTAATAAATCCAGTGTCTAAGTAGATTGTAGGTTTTAATTTTATTAATATGATTAATTTTACGTAATTACTTAGTCTAAATTAAATTACACCACCTTTCACTTGAGTTACATGCTCCTGTTTTTGTTACATAAGCTAAATTATTTAACCAGTGTTCTGTGTGTATTGTATACGTGATACTATAATAGCTTTTAAAATATCAGTATGTTCTTCACTTTCTAAATTCTTTTGCAATAGGATGAATATTTTAAGCATTATAATCACAACTTTATAGCACTTGTAGAATAGTGAGATGAAATGGTAATAGTAAAATGAAATAGTCTTATTGAAAATGCTACTTTTTATTTCTGCTGTAGCACAAATTTAGTAGCATAAATTTTTCTTATCATTTGCACAGATAACTTTGTTACAGTATATGAAAATAGAATTTATTATATAATTTGAAAGAAAATTAAGAGTCAACATATAATAAATATTGTTCATAATACTGGTCTGTGAGGAAGAGTAGATTTTATAAGTGAGTGGGCCTAATTTAAAATGCAAACTCGAATAATTTTGCATCACTAGACACAGCATTTGAAACTCTGTGTGACAAAAATATTTGAAGTATTTTGATTATCTCATGATTTTAGTTAATCCTGTAAGTAAAAATTTATGTAGTCAATAAACCTGCATATATGCAGAGTGAGACTGTGTGCGTGTACTGTACACCCAGGATCAAAGTAAAACTTCCATTATTCAAAAGAGCATCAGTTTAAGTTGGGGATAAAGCCTTTGTCTTTCTTAGGATGGTATAGTTTTTAATAAGCTTGATATAAGTTTTATTATGTCATTCATCTATTTTCCATACAACTGTATATGCTAGGAGTGGGCCGGTAGGATGTAAATACTGTTATTTTTGCTTGATGAGGACATCTCTAGAAAAAGTGCACTGGACTATACTGTTGTAAGTATTTCCCAAGGCCCAATATAGTAAAGAACATGCTGCTGTCCCTAGAGTCAGAAATTCCCCTGGGAATGGTGGTGCGCCTAGTCCTAGATACCCGGGAGGCCAAGGCAGAAGGGTCACTTGAGGCAAGGAGTTGGGGGTCCAGCGTGGGCAACACAGTGACAGAGAAAGAGGGAGAGATGGAGAGGCGGCAAGGGGTGAGAGGGAGAAAGAGACAGTAAGAAAGACAGGCCTACAACTGATGGAATGCATGCTACGAGTGCATGGATAGTTTTAGGTTGATTTTCATGTTGAAAAGATTATGGTTGTATAGAATCTGACAAAGCTGTGAATGTCAGAGGAAGCTTTTCTTAAGAGAAATTATTTCCAACTGTAACTTTTAAGTGATTCCGGATAAAGATTCAGCTGGTAGGAGAGAAACTAGAGTAACATTGGCTTAAGCAAAGGGGTTTGTTTCTTTCTGGCGTTAAGAGTTCACCACCACAGTCCAGAACTACATGGCAACTCCACAGTTTGGGGAACTCTACTTCCTTCTGTGTTTACATTCCACTGGCCCTAGAGTCCTCATAGTCCAAGCTAACTTGCCCCTTCCCGTCGCCTGCCAGTCAGCACAGAGCAGGAGAGCAAGGCTCTAGACACTTTTCTTCCATTCAAAGCCACTGGCTAAAATGGCGCAGGTAGACTATGAATTATACTCTTCACTTTGGGCAGTTGTGTGCCCAGCTGAGGATTTGGAGAATTATATTTCTACAGAAGAACAGGAAGAACAAATGCTACTGACAATTCTCAGTTTTTGTCAAATATATCTCTTCTCTTCTTGTGTCTGTACTGCCATAGTGAAATGTCAGCTCATTTGTCCATTCTTCTTTACGATAATTTCTTCTCCAACCCAGAGTCACAAGTACAGATCATTACTTCCTAAGTGATGGTCTCTTTGTACCTGAAGACCAGCTAGAGAACCAGAAACCTTTACAGTTGGATATAATTATGGTAAAGCCTCATGAATGCAGTGCCAACCAAGAAGAAAATGCTGCAGTTTCTTCTGCAAAGAAGCCCAAGCTAGCATGCGAAGAGTCAGAAAACCTCACCTCCACCCACTGTGACTCTTATTCAGGAGGGCTGAAAAAGGACACAGGAACGCAGAGCATGGGCCAAGCTTGCCGAGAGCCATTGTGTCCATGCTCTTGTTCTTCTGAAGGTCAACAGTGCCAGGCTACAGCCTGTACTCAGGAGATTCTGGAAATACTGAAGAAAGACAATGTGTTTGTTTTAGATATTGACTTAGATTTTTTTTCTGTCAAGAACCCCTTCAAAGAAATGCTCACTCAGGTAGGCACTATTTTTAAAACATGGATCTTGAGAATTGTGTGACTCTTCTCCAGATTAGAGCATAGGAAGCTTTCTGCAAATAGCCAGGTAGTATTTATTTTAGGATTTGTAGTCTGCACTCTGTCCCATATTCTTCTTTCTTTTAATCTTTTAAAATTATATACAGTTTTAGCATCCCTGATTACAAAATCGGAAATACTCCACACTTCAGCATCTTTTGAGAATCATGATGAAATGCACTAGTTAAGTCTCTCCAGAATATTCCAAAATCCAAAAATCTCCAGAATCTAGCTGGGCGTGTTAGCACACTGTAATCCCAGCACTCTGGCAGGCAGAGGCGGGAAAATCACAAATTTGAGCCCAGCCTGGGCAGCATAAGCTACTTAACAAGTAATTTAATCTCAAATTTTTAGAAAAGGCTGAGCATGTATGTAGTGCAAAGGTTCTATCCCGAATACCACAAAAAAAGAAAAGAAAAAAGAAATCCAAAATCTGAAATTCTTCTGGTCCCAAGCATTTGGATGCTAAAATCTTCATTATATTTTAAAATTTAATAGTTAATGTTTTTAATATCATAAAAATAGTAGAGAATTCTGTTTGTTACATCTATTGTGATAAACTGTGTGATCGTGGTAAAGTTACTTAACCTTTTGACCTGCAGTTTTTCAAGAATAAACTGAGAATAATAATACCTGGCTGGCTGAAGAGATAGCTCAGTGGTAGGGTACTTGCCCCACATGCACAAAGCCTTGGATTCGATCCCTAATACTGCAAAACAATCAGACCCAACTCATAGAATCATTAGGATTGGTAAAGCACTGAGAATAGTGCTAAATATTGTATTTAGTACATTGTAGTTCTTAGATGTGACTTCTTCCTGGCAGTAGTCTTAAATTGGGTTATTTGGTCCAAGTGTATCCATCTATGTAATGAAACTGTCAGGTTGTGCCAAACAAGAGGAGGCATTATCCTACAGTCTGGGTGTGTCAGGCATCTTTCTTCCTTTGTTTGGAACTTCCTAAGAGAAGTTCTGTAGTTGCCAATCTGCTTCCAGTAGTGCCTTTAAGCTCCATTTTTCTTCCATTGCTGGAAAAATGGCTGTACCCTGAAAACTTTTTTATTGTCATCAAAGATGTGAATACCTCCTATAAATAGCTAAAATGTGTTAAGATCCTAGAATATATCCTTCTATATGATGGTTATTTTCATCTTGCTCCAGTAGCTACCTTGTCTTCCATAGTCAATGTTTATGCTTTATTCTCATGCCCAACTGGGTAAGAGTTGCCCTGAAGAAATTGACTTTACAGTGGAAATCTGTAATATACATTTTGCTTGATTCTCCAAAACAAAGCACTGAATAATTATATAAGATGCACTTCTTCTGTCACAGGTGATCTGTCTCTCATGTAGAGTATATTACTGGAAAAAAATAACCTTAGATATTTTGTTTTCCAGGAAGAATACAAAATCTTACAAGAGCTCTACCAATTTAAAAAGCCTGCTAGCAACCTAACTGAGGTATCCACCATTTGTTTCTTCTGGATTCTATGCGTTTGCTACTTGTCTAGTAGTGTCTTGTAACTTATTATCTTAAAGAACGGTCCAGATTCTTTGTGTGCGTGCATGTGTGCATGCACACACGCATGCATTTGTGTTTATATGTCAAGCCCATTAGTATATAAAAACAATGTATTAAGGATTTTCATTGTATAGGATTTCACTTGTTTTTTGAAAGAATAATTGTATATTCTCAGCTTTTCACTGTATTTAAAGGAAGATTTGGTAGACACTGTTGATACTCGAATTCATCAGTTAGAAGACTTGGAGGCAGCTTTCTCTGATTTGTGTGATGGTGATGATGAAGAAACTGTACAGAGATGGGCTTCAAACCCTGGGTAAGGTCCCAAAACATTTTCTTTGTCTCCAAGTCTACTAATTTTCAGTCCTAAATATATTCTTAAATTTGCTAGATAAATTGGTTTTTTTTTTTTTTTTTTTTTTTTTTGGTACCGGGGATTGACCTCGGGTCCTTGCATTTGCAAGGCAGGCCACCGAACCGCTGAGCTAAATCCCCGGCCCCCGATAAATTGCTTTTTAAAAATGAATATTTTAGCCAGCCTTGGTGACACACACTCTTGAAAGCTCAGGCGGGAGGTTTGCAAGTTATAGCCCAGCCTAGCAACTTAGCAAGACCATGTCTCAAAATAAAAAGGGCTGGCTGGGCGTGGTGGTACATGCCTGTAATCCCAGCACTTGGGAGGCTGAGGCAGGAGGATCGCTGTGAGTTCGAGACCAGCCTGGGCTACATAGTAAGTTCCAGGTCAGTCTCAACTGCATAGTGAGACCCTGTCTCAAAAAATTAATTAATTAATTAATTAATTAATTAAAAAGGTCTGGAGCTGTAGCACAGTGTAAAGACCCTGGGTTTGCCAGGGATTTAGCTCAGTGGTTCTGCTGCCTGCCTTGCAAGTACAAGGACCCAAGTTCAATCCCGGTACCAAAAAAAAAAAAAAAGACCCTGGATTCAATCCCTATGGCACACACCCTATTTCAACACAGGTTCACCAATAGTAGCACTTACTGAGTGTTGGATTTCCCTTGCATTGTGTCATTGTTTTCCTTACAACAACTTATGGATACATTATTACTATGTTCATTTTATAGATGAGGAAACCCAAGGCACAGTTTCAAGTAAATTTCCCAAAGTCACATCGTAAGTGGACATGCTTTTAGTTGTTGTGCACGAGCTGACCCTAAGCATATTATACTAGGTTTTACAGAGAATTAAAGTTGAATATATGGGTAGTCTGTATCCTGTATAGAATAAGAAAAAAACTAACCCATCAACAGAGTTAAATTACTTGACAAGTAATAGGAAAATTGGCTTCCTTTAAGGGTAGCTCAATAAAGAAGTGATAATTGTTTGAGGTAATGGATATACATTCCACTTAGCCATTGTGATTATTGCATGGTATTTACAGGAATAGAAGTACCACATTGTATTCTATAAATATATACAATTATGTGTCGACTTAAAAAAAAAAAGTGCAGCCCAGCTACAAGTGGTGGAGTTTATTTTCAATCTGTTCATGACATGAGGGAAGAAGATTTGAACACCAGATTCTTCATCTGATCATTTATGTGGCTGATTCTCATATTTTAACATTAGCTGGAAAACATGGAAAATCCTATGAAGATTGACATGAATGAATATAGTTACTTGTCTCTAAAATGTCTTGTAAAGGCCAGAAAACTACAAACCATTAAACAAAATTTTTATTCTTATGGACATAGGAAGACAAGACTGATTTATATTAAAATTAGTCACCCACACACTACCATGAACAATTTCTTATAAAAAAATCGTTTGTATTATAACATATAATAAGAAGTTAGAATCATAGTGTGTTTAGGTCAGAATATGAACAACCCTTTAGATTGGTCCTGTGATGCTTATTAAAACTTATTCATTGGTGAGCTGGTTATGGTGGTAATCTCACCACTCGGGAGACTGGGGCAGGAATATAGCGAGTTTGAGCCTGCCCTGGGGAACTTAGCAATACCCTGTCTAAGTTTAAAAAATTAAAGGCGGAGGGGATGTAGTTCAGTGTAAAGGCCCTCGATTCAATCCCCCATACTGCGAAAAATAATAATAACATACTGAAATTGGGATAGTGGTTGCCTCAGGAGAGATGAATCCTGACTAAGAGATGAAGTATATGAGCAAGAAATACTTCTTTTGCTATGTCTGTATATTACCTTTTTAACATACTGTAAATTTACTTTTAAAATATTCAGAGACATTCCTGAAATGTAAAAATCACAAAACTTTCATTATTGTCATTAAAGAAAGCGGTGGTATGGAAAAATAATTCATAATAGTTTAATCGCATTGGTAAACATTGATCAGACACTTCAACATCAGTTAATTCATCTTGTTTTCTTTTTTTTTTTTTTTTTTTTTTTTTTTTTTTTTTTTTTTGGTACTGTGGATCAAACTCAGGTCCTTGATGCTTGCAAGGCAGGCGAAGGAACCACTGAGCTAAATCCTGGCCCAGTTAATGCTTTTTCTTTTCAGTATAGAAAGTTACTTCTAAAAATTATTGTCTTTTTTTGAAATTATGTTGGAAGAGGAAGACAAATAATGTACAAGTTATGAGTCCTAGAATTATTAAAGAGTATCCACATTTTTGTGACTTACAAAGTTTCAAGCCAAATTTAAAACTTAATATCAAAAGTAACCATAGATACCTTAAAATCTTGGACCTAGACTATTAAAGTGTCCCCTCCCCTGAAACACACTTCTGAGCAGGCCTGGTAGCTGCAGCTCCTGTGGGGAGCCCTGTTGGGAACTCAAAGGTTCAAGGAGACTGGAGGAAACGGTGAGGAACAAGAATAGCACAAAGAAACACGGGGACACAATAGAGAACCTTTATTTCTTCGTGTTTTAAGGTGATATTCAAGCAGCTTTGTCTTTCATTCACAAATATACAAAGCATATTGTCCATGGTAAGTATTAAGTATAATATATCATTTGCTACTGTAATTTTAGGTGAGGTGGTTGTGGTATCTAATTCAGTGGGTTGGCTTTTTTCCAGAATGGAATCATTAGTTCTACTTGTACAGAGTTTGAAAAAACGTATGGAGGTGCCAGACTATGAAATGGTAAATATTTATATTAAAGTGTAAAACTGACCCTTTCTAAAAGGCAATTTTTTTAGTAAAACAATTTGCTTTTTGTTAAGATAGTTCATTTTTATTTGTGTTCCTAAACTCTAGATGAATTACTAAGAAAAGAAGTGAAAAAATAGTACATTTTTCAGAAAGTAGAATACTGGAAGTTTTCTAGGAAAAACATGCTTTTCTCAATTCTGTATATGATGCAAAAGTGCTATTATTTTTTAATTTTGTTGACAGATCTCTCTTCACCAGAGAAGAGTAGGTCCAGAATTTCTAAAGGTGTTCATTTCTTACTGATTTCAGTTTATACTCCCTTTGTCTTCTTTTTTTTGAAAACATCTGATTATAGAAACCAAAAGAGAAATACAGGAGACCTGTAGCTACTACATTTTGAGTATGTCAGTTCTTTATGTCTGCAGTAATCTGAATCTTGTGGCCAAGGACACTTTTTTTTTTGTACCGGATATCGAACTCGGGTCCTTGTGCTGGGGAGGCAGGCAGCGGAACCACTGAGCTAAATCCCCAGCACCAAAGACATTTTTAATCATAATTTCTTTTATTTTTAGATTATAGTCTTTGAAGCTTTTTTTTTTTCCATTTTACCCAGTACTTCAGATGAGAAAACTGGAATTTAAAAGTTCAAGTGACTTTTCTCAGATTTTTATGCGAAGAACTGAAACCTTTAACTGTTCTGCCTCTTAGTCTAATGCCTCTTTTACTTCAAGAAGAGGTGTTTTAATCTTTTCTTTGGCTTTGGGATCCATCAAACCACCTTATTTGAGCTGATCTTTAAGTTATTAATGCTTAATTCATAAAAATAAAAATACCAGCAAAAGAATTTCTTGGTTAACCTTGAGCTAATCTCAGACCCACTTTCGCTTAAGAATGTTAAGAATGAGAGAAGACACCCAGGGCTTGAAAATACTTTGAGTTCGTGTGATTTTATCAAATATATCTTCAGGCAAGTGTGCTTTAATCATTACATCTAGCATTTTTTATTGTTCCCGGGTTCTGTGTAGTACTTTGCCAGAGAAAGGAATGACTAGGGTTCAGTCACGATGTCAGATATGATGTATGTATAGCTGCACGGTGAGAATGCTTGGGTAGTTTAATTATTTTAGGGAAGAAACGTGAAGAATCCATCATTTTCCAATTAACTGATCATTACTGAGTAAACTGTTGGAGAATATCTAAACCCACCAATAAAATAGTGTTTTTTCACTCTTTGCTTTTATGTACTTTAGGCAGAATTATGACATATTTGAGCTCTAGTTTTCAAATTAAAGCTGATATCGCAAAGAATCTTTCCAAACAACAAAGTGTTAGAATGTAATTTTTAATTGTCTTATTTTCAGGTTCACCAAGCTGGTCTAACCTGTGATTATTCAGAACTTCCTCACCATATCAGCACAGAACAAGAAATTGAGTATCTTGTTCAGTCTGTATATTATTTACTGAAAAAATTACCAAAACCTACTCTTGTGACAATTGCAAGGTAAGCATAGTACACTGAGTAATGAGCCACCAAAGATGTCCACATTCTGCTCTCTAGTACTGTGAATATGTTGTCTTGTATTGCAAAAGGGCCTTGGTAATGTGGTTAATTGGAAGGGTTCTGAGATGAGATTAACTGGCTGAATCCAGTATCATCACAACAGTTACATTAAGAGGGAAGCAGGAAGGTCAGAATCAGAGAGCACATGCATGGAAGATGCTATACTGGTGGGTTGGAAGATGGAAAATAGGGTCACAAGCTGGGGAAATGTAGGGAACAGATTCTCCCTGCATTAAAATGTCACTTAGACTCCCATCTTTAAGCATCATTAAACGTAGCAGTCACAAATGCAGAGAGATACCTATGTGTCACATCAACCAAATACCACAAACCACACCACCATAATGACATGATTTTTCCAATTCCTGAACAAACTTTGAGTAAAGATCTTGACTTAAAAGTCCAGTTTTGGGCCATGGATTTAGCTCAGTGGCACCGAGCCTGCCTCTCAAGCACAAGGTCCTAAGTTCAATCCCCAGTACAAAAAAGTCCATTCTTCTCTATTCACAGAGTAATTGCACTTCTGGAAAATTTAGTTCATATTTAATCCATCTTTTAAAATACTCTTTGTTCATATGTAAAGGTGTTATTCTGTAAGCTTGATAAATTAAAAACCAGTTTCTCACATTTGTAAATATTTCATGAACTTTGAAAAGTATGCAGGACATGGGACAGTGATTCATATTCAACTCTCCTGCATTTTCAAGCCTCCGAGTAACCCAGCCCTCTTGTCCCAGTCACTTGACTGTCAACAGCATTTGTGTAAAACTTAAGACAATCAGAAATGTACCTACCCAGATGGGAATGTACCTCAGTGATAGAGCACTTGCCTAGCATGTATGAGGCCCTGAATTCAATCCCTACTACCACAATAAATGGAAGAGTTAAAGACATCCTATTACAGTGACACATGCATACCCAGGTTTATGGCAGCACAATTCATAACAGCTAAATCTTCGAAACAGTTTATATGTCCATCAACAGATGAATGGATAGAGAATGTGGTATTTGTATACAGTGGAGTACTACTCTGCCATAAAGAAGGGTAAGCTTGAGTCATTTTGGATGCACCTTCAAAACGTAATGTTAAGTTAAATGAGTCAGATGCAAAAGTTTAAATATCACTTGGTTTCTCTTATTTGAGAAATCCAAAATATAAATAGAGCTAAATATAGATAATAGGAAATAGATCTTTTGAAAATGAGAAGGGGTCCAAGAGGTGGAGGGAAAGGAAAGGAATAAAGAAAGAATTGAGAGTGTTATGACATGCGCCAGTTCCCAGAAGGAACATAATCATCATGTACTGCAAATGTGCTAATAAAAAATAAAAAGTGAGGAAAAATGTACTGGGATCTCTAAACATCCTCTTGGGGTCAGCTCCCATCCAGACCATTCTGTTTTGTTCCATTTTGTTTTTTTTAAGACCAGTGTCTCACTCTGTAGTTCAGGCTGGCTTCAAACTCATGGAGATCCTCCTAGCTCAGCTTCCAAAGTGCTGGGATTTCAGGCATGTTCCATCACACCCAGCAGGAACCATCTTTAAGTATTTAAAAGAAGTAAGAAGTCATTTTGACACATTGAAATCTCATTTGATAAGACTTATAAATATTTTACATTTTTGTATATTACACTTTCAGGACATATACATTAGCCATGTGTATATGTCAGTATTTGATAATTTAATAATTTAACATGCTCTCTGTCATTACTTATTGTGTCTTAAATTTTCACCTCAAGCCACAAGAGTTATCTGATCACTAGAGAATGCAGTGAGCTTGCCACAGGTCTTGCTGATTATTTCTTTAAGTCAGAAATACTTCTTTGAAGAGTTAGGCTGCTGTCTAATTCCAACTTCTTCAAAAAGATTTCCGTGCCACTCTTCTCAGCCCATCCACCAATGGTTTTCCTCACCCCAGTCTAGACCCGGGTGACACTGATATCACATGAGGTCACATCTTCATCCACCTGTAAGTGGCAGCAGTATTTTAAGGACCAATTGCAAATTAAATTGTCCTAGTGAGAGCTAGAAAGACTCCCAGGTGCGGATCCTGCCCAACCCTACTCGACTCCTTTCTCCTCCATGCAGCCTAGGACAATCCCAACAGCATATCCTGCATTGTATTTTTGACCAAGCCATGGATCCTTTATACTTGTCCAGTTAACAAGTTGTTATAGAAGTAGGACTCTTTATCAGTTGGAAAGACCTCACTCTTGCATATAACTGATAGAAGAATAAAATAAAAAAGATGCCTGGCCGCTAAGATCATAAGCCCCTGTATTCTCAGATGACCTCTCCCTTTTGGTGAAAGACCTATTACTGTATCTGTTAAGCACAAACCCCTGGATTTCAGACCTTGTACCAGCTAGGTAACCTTTCACAACTGACTCTCTTTGGTTTAGATTTTTTTAAAGGCATGATAATTATAAATATTTTATAGAATTGGTGAGAAAATTCAAGAACGTAAGTCATGTAAAGCACCTTACTTACAGGGTAAACATTTAGTAGCCTTCAACTATTAATTCCAGAGTTCAGCTCACCTGCGTTTCAGTTTCACATTGCAATCAACCCATGCAGGCTTTTCCTCTCTCTGCACAGTATGATTTTAGCCTACTTAGTGTGTATTTTCTTCTTTTGCTTTCTCATGCTTCTAGGTCAAGTCTGGATGATTACTGTCCTTCTGAACAAGTTGACACAATTCAAGAAAAGGTCCTTAAAGCCCTGCACTCCCTCTATGGAACCCTGGACACTCACCTGGTGTATTCAGAAGAGTCTGCCCCAGCTTGAACAAAACACTAGGCTATTACATCTTGCTGTAGTAACCAGGTTTACATTAACTTATTCATAAAGAGTCTTCCAGAGAACATTTTTATGCTAACTTTCAAGTGAAATCTTTAAGATATTTTGAATCTCCAAATAACCATCAGGTGTTGAATGATGGCAATTTTGTTTTGCTTTGCATCGAGTCTACTAACTCCAGTTGACAGAATTGTCACTTAACTCTCTTCCTTCTATCATTGTCTTTATTTTTGAGGGTTTTTCACTCCTTGTCTCTGTAGGTCAGTTGGACTATATGAGATTCGTTCATGTGCTTATTCATTCATCCAACTCCTACGTATTAAGGACTTATGTCCCAGACATTATTACATGTGCTGGATGTATGGAGATAGAATGGACAAAGCCCAGCTCTCCTCGGGGAGACCCGTGAGAAACAAATTCTGGGTTTTAAGTGTTACAAAGGAAAGGATAACCACAAACATATCTTAGGCATACTTAGTACTCAGGGTACCTGGCCTTATAAGAAGGTAACATTCTCAAAAGTTACTACCAAAAGAAAATCCTTACCAGTCCATAAAAATATTGTAAGAGATCTACCTTTTTTGAGACAAGGTCTCACTGTGTGGATCAATCCAGACTTGAACTCACTATGCATCCCAGGCCATCCTTGAGCTTGGGGTAATCCTCCTGCCTGCCTAAGCCTCCTTGGAGTGCTGAAGTTACAGGCTTGCACCACCATGCCCAGCTTCTAGCAATGCTTTTATTAAAGAGACCCAGTTAGGTAAACGTGACTGTCTTAGTTACTTTTCTCATTGCTGAGACAGAATACCCAACACCCACACATTAAAGGAGAAACGGTTTATTTCAGCTCACATTTTCCAAAGGTGTTAGTTCAAAGTTGGCTGGCTTCAAGGCAGGGTGGCAGGACAAAGGGGTGTTGCAGAGGAGAAACAATCCATGGCAGAGCAAAGCAGGCAGTAGGTGGCAGAAGCAGCAGAATCAAGCTTCCCTTTCCTTTTATCCTATTCAGGCTACAAGCCTTTTGTATGGTGCCACAGACACCCCAGGTGAAGCATCCATTATTCCCACCTATACCTATGCTAAGTGTAGTTATCACACACCCTAACCCAGCATCACACAACCATGATCTAGCCACCCCCCAAAAAAGGTCCACCTATGAGCATACAAGGCTTTGGGGGAACATCTAGATACAAGCCATAATTGACCAAAACACATGCTTTTTGTTTTGTTTTAGCTTTTTGTTGATTTGTAATTGTTGCAAATTAGAAAAGCCATTGGAGAGCTGAGGATTTAGCTCAGTGGCATCGCCACCTGCCTCACAAACACAAGGTCCCAAGTTCGATCCCCAATACAAAAAAAAAAAAAGAAAAGTCCTTGAAGTTTGTACTTCCAGGTGGCCATTGTGGTTATCAATGTGGTTGTAGTCCCTGAATGCCACCTTATTGGCAATTTCAGCTGATGAGTTTTTAAGATAAGCCAGCTTTGTCTTTAATTCTGAACCAGATACAGTGGCACAAACCCATAATCTTGTCTGTTCAAGAGGCTGAGGCAGGAAGATCACAGCAAGACCCTTTCTCAAAAAAGGCACTGAGGATATAGCTCAATAGGTTCAACCCCCAGTAATACCCCAACACACACACACACACACACACACACACACAAAACTTAATACTGACCTACATAAACACTTGCCACATAACTCTTCCATCAGTCTCCACATAATGTAACTGAACACAGTGAGTTCATCCTTTGGTGATTGAAAAGCCAATTAGTACCTCCAGGTAATTAAAAAATAAAATGAAGAAAAGCTTGTTACAGCAAGTAAGGAAAGCATGGGGGATATTTTCCTGTGCAGCGGCCCTCCCCAAATAAAAGCCAGAGATTCTATGGGAGAGCCCCATTCCTGTTCACACTGGAGAGACCTGTCACCCTGTGTAGACATGGGGGGCGTATTCCTCCCCAGCCCCTGTCCCTATGCTGAGGATTGAACCCAGAGCCTCACGCATGCCATGCAAGCAGCTCCACTGCTGAGCTACATCCCGAGCACTGAGGCTGGTGTATTCTCGCACATGTGCAGTTAAAGATCAAGCTTCGTACCCTGCACATTTGAAAATGGGGGATGCGAACGCCTCCAGGCTGGAGGACTTAGCATACAGTACACTGAGCAAGATTCGCTGTCACCCAGAAGAGTGCCCAGTGACGTGGGCTGGTTTAAAGCAGTGCTGTGAGTTCCTTGCACTCTTCTCTAGGGAGCATCATATGAAAAAAACAACCTGAAGGGCCTTCACAGGTTGCTCCCCCACTGGCACTGCCAACAGGTATTTAACCCTCTGAGTTCCTGCCTAACAGTTTAACAATGTTAGATATGGAACTTTTGTCTTCTGTGTTTGCCAAAGCTCCTGGCCCAGTATGCCTTTTTGTTCAGTAACCATTTTAACTAATAACTTCTCCTTGAAAGTACAAGTTAACATGGCATGTAAAGAAAAAAGAAAACAACACCCATCCATCTCAGCACAGCTTTTGACTTTGCATGTAGCTTTCAGGCCTGCAGAGTTGCATGTAGCCGAGAGCATACTGTGTAATCCTGACTTGCACTTCGTGGCTAATACCATACTCAAGGACACACTACTGTTGTCACTCACTAGATGGCACCAGGCCCCCATCTTTGAAATGATTGTATTTTGCAGTGAATTTTTCTTGTCACCAAGTTGATTTCCAAAGACTGCTAATGTGAATGCTTACTTGTGTTGTGAAGAGCAAAAAAAACTGATTGACCCTTCTGCTTTTATGAAACACCATTATACCAGAAAGGATATGTTCTTGTAAAATCAGAATTGCAAAATAGTGCTATTTCTTTTTAAATTTTGAAAATTTCTGTTGAGTTCTATAAATAGGCATTTTTATGAGTAAATTATTTTGTGTGCTAAAAGAAATTAAAAACTCTTTTGAAGTTTTTAAAATCAAACAGTAGCACTAATGATGATCGCAGTGTTGAGGTCACTGGTTTTGAACTCTAACATGATTCATCGTGGTTGAATAAATAGCATAAGTTTCTTTTATCAGAGACTCAGATTTTTTAGCTCCCATGTGTGATTGTTTCCTTGAAGAATACAGTTCAGTCCCTACTTATTAAATAAAACCAAATTACCAAATTATATCTGCTCATTCCAAAATAGGGAGATTATTTAATCAAGATAGCCCTCGTTTGTGTTGCAAGTAGCAGTGAGAGTGAGTGCAGATACAGTGTGCCTGAGGCAAGGGATTTGAAGAGGGAGTTAAAAGTAAGTGAGGCCTTAGGCCTGATCCTAAGTACACACTTCCCAGTAGCAGGGTGGGGGTGGGGGCAGTCTTGATAACTCTCTTGACTCAGTTTTATCTGTAGAAACATTCTCTATAGGCATCTGTCTTCCTGTGTCCTAGGTTCTCTGGAAGCTTTGAATTGACATCTGTCTTTCTTTTTATGGGATCACACCTGGTCTTTGTTTTAGCAGCAGTGGCCCTGGGTCTCTAGGAACAGAGTCATGATTGCCAGAAGTTTAGTCAGTGCTGGCTTTCAGGTATGGACATGGAGGATTTTCTTATTCACCGAGTAAACCAAGAGAAAGCACTTTAGCTGAAAAGCAAGGCATGGTGGCACACACCTGTAATCCCAGTACTCAGAAGGCTGAGGCAGGAGGATCACCATGAGTTCAAGACCAGCCTGAACTACATAGGGAGACCCTCTCTCAAAAGAAAAAAAGAGAGAAAACACTTGCGTCGTCAAACTTGAACAGCTTTTTCTGGATATCTTTCAGGTTGCTGGAAATACACCCCTCTCCTCAAAGTGCCCTGATCCGCCTTTTTTATTTATATAAAGTGTATAACTCTACATATATATAAAATATATGTGGTGAAATAATTACTGTGGCCAAGTAAACTAACACATCCATCTCCTCACGTGATCTCCAAGTGTGTGTGTGCAGCAAGAGCTACTAGAATGTACTCCCAGCAAAAGCCTCAAATACAATGCAGTGTTATCAGTTCTACTCTTGGACATTTGAGCTCATCACGCATATCTTGTTTCTTTTGACCCAAATCTTCATCCTTCCTTCCTTGTTTCTGGTAACCACCATTTTTCCTGTACTCGCTGTATTTCCTGTACTTTTTTTAGATTCCACATATAAGTGGGAGGATCGGCTCTGTAAATACTCAATGCAATACGCATTGTGTCTTGCTCAAGGACCTTGCCCATCTGCTGTACCGTACAGCTGCTTTAGTGCTTGTTTCTCTTTGTTTGTTTTTGAGGTAGGGTCTCACTATATATTTCAGGCTGGCCTTGAACTTACTGTGTAGCCCAGGCTGGCCTGGAACCCTCAGTGATCCTCCTGCCTCAGCCTCCCAGTGCTGGGATTACAGTCAAGAGCCACCAGGCCCTGGCAGCTATGATTGTTTCTCAACTAGTTGGCCCCAGGAGGCCTCTGCTTTTGTAGTTCAAACTGCATTCCTAGGATTCCTAACCTCAGCACTGGACCTTCCCATTCCTCTCATCTTTGAGTTGAAAGGAAGCTCTGTGGTGTGGACAGAGGGGCTGCACACGCTGTGACGCACAGAAGGTCTCTGAGCAGTGCCTGTTTGGGTCACTGAATAGAAGGCTGAGTTCTGTACATCATGAGCTCAGATCCTGTCATCCAGCAGCTGGAGCCCCACTATAGAGGCTAAAAGAAGGCTGTGGCTGCCAACCCCACTTCCTGCGTAGTCAGCCAACCTTAAACTGCAGCACCCACCCCACCTGTAATCTCAAAGTGCACTTGCTCAGCTGCAAGTTTGTTGCCTGTCCACCAGCACTGCTGAGAAGTCACAGTAACCCTTTTCAGGCAGATCATTCCCTGACTGAAATGCACTGGAGTGGTTTTAAGCATGGGTTCCGGAGGCCCATTGCCTGCTCCATGGTCCCCTTCTCTGTGCCCAGGTGCATAACCTATTAGACCTCAGCCTCCCCTTTTATAAGAGAATTTAGCCAGGTACAATGGCACATGCCTATAATCACAGCACTCTGGAGGCTGAGGCAGGAGGATCACCACAAGTTCAGGCCAGCCTGGACTACAGAGTAAGACTCTGTCTCAAAAAGCAAAACAAAAAAATTGAGAACTTAACTCATCAGGATATTGTGACTAATAACACACCATTCACATAGGAGTCATTTGGTAAACTTAGCCATTTCTAAATAACTCTATTTTGACTAGCCTGTGAGACAGCTGTGCCAGATCCAGCCGCTCACCACCTGACTCTGAATACTGATATTTTTTAACTACATAAGAGCTCTCACAATAGCTAATGAGTAACAGAACTTCAAGATTAAATATCTATGCCTGTAATCACAACACTCTGGGAGACTGAGGCGGGAGGATAGCAAGTTTGAGCCCAGCCTGGGTAGCGTAGCAAGTCAGCAAGACCTTGTCTTAAAAAGTTAAAAAAGAGCCAATGGTGTAGCTCAGTGCAAAGGCCCTGAGTTCAACACCCAGTACAAAAAGGGGACAGAGCAGAGGGCTTTAAACAAAATTACTCATGATTTAGAATTTCTTCTTACAGGCAATTATTTACTCAATTTTTAACCTTGTATTCATATGCAGAGAGGTTCGGGTATTTTGTGATCTGTTTTCTTATGGATTAGTTCTGGTAAGGTGTTCCACAGTGCTATGTAAGCATGAGCTAAAAATACATATAGTTTGAACTTCTGCCTAAAATTCAAAATCTAATATTTGAAAATCTAATACCTGTCCATAAATTGTATATAAATGTTCAATCCCTAAATATCTGCTGCTCTTTTTTGGCTTTGCTCACTGTTGAAGGAGCGACCCTGCTTGTCACTTCTGGGCCTTCCTTCTCTTACAGTCCTGGCCCTGCCTGGCCCTTTTGCCCCTTCCTGGATGAGAAGGGGACTGCAGGGTGCCTTTTGATGGAAGCTTGTGTC